ACAACAGCAACAATACAGTACATGGAAAAAAAATAAAGCCTATCCATAAAGAGACAGAAGGATCACTGCCATCAAGTCAGATCTGACTCATAACAATCCCTACTTGGGTTTCTGAGTCAGTATCACTATAGAAGTAGATTGCCCCATCTTCCTTCCAAGGAGTGGCTGGTGGGTTTGAACCACCTGCTTTCTGGTTAGCAGTCAAATGCCTTAGGCACTGTGCTACCAGAGACAACCTAGGTAAGCTAAAAAAAAAAAAAAAAAAAGTTGGTCCCTACAACTTTCCTTATAATTACCCTTTTTCTCACATAGATCAAGTTGATTTCATTACAACCAAAGCTTGGCTAATAAAACACTTCATTTCTTGTGGATTTTTTTTTTTTCTTGTAATTTTTATTCATTCTTTTTATTTGGGTATTTGGAGGCATAATGTCTATAAGAACTGGAATCAAATAAACCAGGCTTGAATGTTGATTCTATTGCTCACTAGCTATGTGTAATATTGGGGGTTTATACTCTGGTGGTGCTGTGGTTAAAGCATTGGGCTATTAACCAAAACGTCCAAGGATTGAACCTAGGAACCACTTTGTAGCACAAAAATAATGCAGTCTGCTTGCTTAAAGATTTACAGCCTTGGAAACCCTGCAGAACAGTTCTACTCTATCCTATAGTGTCACTAGGAGTTGGAGTTGACTCAATGGCAATGGATTTATATAGTATACTATATATGTGACTATGTACTACTTTCCATACTCCTACAAGGAAAACCAGTTAATACTATTATCATTCAAATTTATGCACCAACCACTAAAGCAAAAGATGAAGAAATTGAAGACTTTTATCAACTTCTGCACTCTGAAATTGACCAATTTGTCAAAGATGTATTGATAATTGCTGGTGATTGGAATGCAAAAGATGGAAAGAAAAAAGAATCATAGGTAGTTGGAAAATATGGCCTTGATGATAGATATGACACTGGAAATCACATGATAGAATTATGCAAGGCCAATGACTTATTTTTTGCAAATTCCATTTTTCAACATCATAAACTTCAGTTATACATATGGACCTCACCAGATGGAATACACAGGAATCAAATCAACTACATCTGTAGAAAGAGGCCGTGGAGAAGCTCAATATCATCTGTCAAAATGAGGCCAGTTGCTGACTGTGGAACAGACCATCAATTGCTCATAAGCAAGTGCAAACTGAACCAGAAGAAAATTAAAACAAGTTCACAGAGCCAAACTACAACCTTGGTTACATCCCACCTGATTTTAAAGAGCATCTGAAAGGTAGATTTGACTTATTGAACACCAATGACTGAAGATAGGACAAGTTATGGGATGACATCAAGAAGATTACATATGCAGAAATGAAAAGGTGATTTCAAAGACAGGAAAGGAAGAAAAGACCAAAATGGATGTCAGAAGGGACTCTGAAACTTGTTCTTGAATGTAGAGTAGCTAAAGCAAATGGAAGAAATGATGAAATAATAAACCTATACAGAAGATTTCAGAGGGCAGCTTGGGAAGACAAAGTAAATGTGCAAAGACAATGAAATGTGCAAAGAACTGGAATTAGAAGTCCAAAAGGGAAGAACACACTCAGCATTTCTGAAGCTGAAAGAACTGAAGAAATAACTCAAGCCTCAACTTGCAGTATGGAAGGATTCTATAGACAAAACACTGAATGATGCAGGAAACATCAAAAGAAGACAGAAGGAGTATGCAAAGTCAGTGTGCCAAAAATAATTGGTCAGCCTTCAAGTGATAGCATATGATCAAGAATGAATGGTATTGAAGGAAGAAGTCCAAGTTGCACTGAAGGCATTGGTGAAAAACAATGCTCCAGGAATTGATGGAATACCCATTGAGATATTTCAACAAACAGATGCAGTAATGGAGGTGCTTAATCATTTATACCAAGAAATTTGGAAGACAGTTACCTGACCAACCAAATGGAAAAGACTTATTTTTGTGCCCATTCTAAAGAAAGGTGATACAGCAGAATGTGAAAATTATCAAACAATATCACTGATATCACATGCAAGTAAAATTTTGCTGAAGATAATTCAAAAATGGTTGCAACAATACATTGACAGGGAACTTCCAGAAATTCCAGCTGCATTCAGAAGAGAACATAGAACAAGGGATATCATTGCTGATGCCAGATGGATCTTGGCTGAAAGCAAAGAATACCAGAAAGATGTTTATCAGTGTTTTATTGACTATGCACAGGCAGTCAATTATGTGGACCATAATGACTTATGGATAACATTGAGAAGAATGGGAATTCCAAAACACTTCATTGTGCTCATGAAGAACCTGTAGATAGGCCAAGAGGATGTTGTTCAAACAGGATATGGGGATACTGCATGGTTTAAAATCAGGAATGGTGTCTGTCAGGCTTGTATCCTTTCACCAATCTGTATGCAGAGCATGTAGTCTGAGAAGCTAGACTATATGATGAAGAACGTGGGATCACAATTGAAGGAAGAATCATTAAGAATCTGCAATATGCAGATGACACAACCTTACTTGCTGAAAGTAAAGATGACTTGAAGCACTTACTGATGAAGATCAAAGACTACAGTCTTCAGTCTAGATTACACTTAAACATAAAGAAGACAAAAGCCCTCAGAACTAGACCAATAAGCAACATCATGATAAATTGAGAAAAGATTGAAGTTGTCAGGGATTTTATTTTACTGGGATCCACAATCAATACCCATGGAAGCAGCAGTCAAGAAATCAAATGTCATATAGCACTGGGAAAACATGCTGTAAAAGACCTCTTTAAAGTGTTCAGGAGCAAAGATGTCACTTTGAAGACTAAGGTGTGCCTAACCCAAGCCATGGTATTTTCAGTCTCCTCATATGCATGTGAAAGCTTGGCAATGAATAAGGACTATGACAAAGAGTTGAAACCTTTGAATTGTAATGCTAACAAAGAATGCTGAAAATACCATTGGACTGCCAAAAGAATGGACAAATCTGCCCTGAAAGAAGTGCAGCCAGAATGTCCCTTGGAAGTGAGAATGACAGAATTCATCTCACCTCCTTTAGTCATGTTGTCAGAAGGGATCAGTCCTTAGAGAAGGATATCGTGCTTGGTAAAGTGGAGGGTCAGCGAAAAAAGGGAAGAACTCCAACAACATGGATTGACACAATGGTTGCAACAATGGACTGAGACATAGCAAGTGTTGTGAGGATGATGCAGAACCGGGCAGTGTTTTGTTCTGTTGTATATGGAGTCCTTATGAGTCAGAGCTGACTCCACGGCACCTAACAACAACAACATGGACTACTTTGGCAATGTTATCAGGAGGGACCAATCCTCAGAGAAGAATATCATGCTTGGTAAAGTAGAGGGTCAGAAGAAAAGAGGAGGACCCTCAATGAGATTCATTGACTCAGTGGCTATAACAATGGACTCAAACATGGCAACGACTGTGAGGATGGCACAGGACCAGGCAGTCTTTTGTTCTGTTGTACACAGGGTCATTATGAGTCAGAACTGACTTGACACATAACTAGAACATATAGCATATTAATATTACATACCATATAATTATATGTATATATATCAGACATAGTAATAGTAAGTGTAACATATGTGACTATATATATTATATATAGTAATAAAACAAAAAAAGCCAAACTCACTGACATAGAGTGGGGTCCAACTCATAGCGACCCCTCTTTGGGTTTCCAAGGCGGTATCACTACCAACCTTCCTTCTGGGGAGTGGCTGGTGGGGTTTAACCACCAGTCTTCTGGTTAGCCGTCAAATGCCTTAGGCACTATGCTACCAGAGCTGTATAATATGGATATGACCAAAAACCAAACTCACTGCATCTGCATCAAGTCGATTCTGACTCATAGTGACCCTCATTGGGTTTCCAAGGCTATAAATCTTTATGGAAACAGATTGCCTCATCTTTCTTCTGTTGAGCAGCTGGTGAATTTTCAACCACTGACCTTTTGGTTATCAGCCTAATGCCTTAACCACTATACTGCCAGAGCTCCTTATGATTATAAATAGTTATATTATACATGCAATATATAAAACCAAAACCAAACCAAACTAACACTGAGTTGATTCTTACTCAGAGCAACTCCCATTAGGTTTCTAAGGTGGTAAATCTTTAGGAAAGCAGATTGTCCCATCTTCTTTCCACAAAGTACCTGGTGGGTTTGAACCACCAACCTTCTGGTTAACAGTCAAATGCCTTAGGCACTGCACCACCAGATCTCCTGTAAGATATTTGTGTATGTGTGTATTATGCATAGTAATATAATGGTTATACTAAATAATACTTATGCTAAAAGTTTATTTGTTGTTTATCTGAAATTCTAATTTTATCTGGCAACACTATATATGACAGTTTCTTCTTTTGTAAAATTGGAGTAATACTACTAAATTAATAAAAATGTTAAAAATGTCAAGGATATCACAAAAATTATGTCAAATAATGTATGAGAAACTTGGTTTATTTATTTTTTTCTTCTCTTTACTACCTAGGTTATACTCCATAGCCAAAGAGCACCTCTGATTAGAAAGCTCATCATCATAAAATCACCAATTGGGAGTGACTTCTCCCTCCAAGTGCTAAACTTTTGTGGACTATGTCCCCTGTCTCTAAGACTTTCTCATTTTTTTCCTTGATTACTTATCTTTCATGATCGAGACTATCTGAATCCAGCAAGTGCTGAAGGACTTCTTTAACACAGCTCAAACTAACATATTTTCTGCTCAGTGGAAATGGACCAATGAACTTTTTTTTGCAGAGGCTTTTGTCATGTATTTATTGATCATGTCAGATCTGGTGGGAATGGATGAGATTTTGGTCTCTAAGTCTGAGCTTGCTACTCAATCTCACTAAGCAATGGGCATCAAAAGGTGTGGCTCCACTTTATTTTTCTTGTTTGAAGTCCCCATCTCTGGAGATGCCTTGTAAGCAGTGAGGTAGGTGCTTGCAGAGAGTATTGACAGGTCTAGTTTGGCACTGAAGATACAGAAGTATCATCCTGAATTATTTCCCATATGTTTTCCTTTTCATTTTCTTTCCTATTTTCACCTGTAGGTATCTTGGATGGTAGCATATCACTCTGAGTTAATGTTGTTTGCTTAGGTACAGAAAAGCCACTGGTTGTTACTTTCTCAGGTGGGACTGATGAATGCCAATATTGTGATCCAACTTTGTTTACTGGGTTAACTGTGTGAGGATGACTTGAGTCTGGAATGTTCTCTTGGGTCAGTAGCACTAGATTTGCAATTTCATATGGCTGTTGAGATGAACCTTTGTCTTTTTTGTAATAAGAAGTGCTGAAAGGGATGGCACAAAACACAAGATCCGAGGGCAGCAGTTTAAAATCTTTGGCTGGCCGCGTAATCACAAACCTGCAAGAGAAGCCAAAGATGAATTCTGAGCCTCTGCAGTGGGGACAGTGAGGCTATGGGCAATGGTCAAAATAAGGAAATCATTTGGCTGGTCAAAGGAAGAGAAGTTTTTGTTTTGTTTTACTTTCTGGGTATCTGATGTAGTAAATTAACCTGTGCTTACTATTGATGAAGCCCATCAAATGGCCCAGTGAAAAAAGAAAGATCTATAGTAGGAAATGGGGGACCGGCTTCCACGCCTTCTTCTAAATCAACCATCTCTGACCTTGTTTTTTAATGGGAGAAGGGTAAGGTTGTGGTTTAGAATAATTGATCACTAATGACCTTTCTGAATCCAGGTTTCTCTGCTTTTAATAGCCACTATGCTAATGAATCTAATTGACAAAATACTGAGTACTTAGCTAAACTTTGTCAGAATCAGAACACATCACTCCAGATATTTTCATCCTGACTTATGCTTAGCCTGATGCTTATGCTCTGGGGGTGTAGTGCCTAAGGTTGTTGTTGTTGTTATGTGCCGTTGAGTCGGACCCGACTCACAGCGACCCCTCCTTGAGTTTCCGAGGCAGTATCACTACAGAAGTAGATTGTTCAACCTTCCTTCTGAGAAGTGGCTGGTGGGTTTGAACCGCCAGACTTCTGGTTAGCAGTCAAGTGCCTTAGGCACTAGGCTACCAGCGCTCCCAGTGCTTAAGGTATTTGACCATTAACAAGAAGGTTGGCAATTCATACCCACCAGCCACTCCGTGGAAGGAAGACTGGGCAATCTACTTCCATAAAGATTTACCACCTCAGAAACTCAAAGGCGGTCACTATGAGTCAGAGTCGACTCAATGGCAGTGAGGTTTTTTTTTTTTTAATTTAGTTAATACTTATGCTATCTCCTTTCATGCAGAATATACTCTGGCTAATGAAGAATATACATATGCATGTATATGTGTGTGTGTCTACACACACACATGCACATATATATGTATACACACACATACAAATGGAACCCTGGTGGCACTAACTGAAAGGTAGGTGATTCAAACTCACCAGCCACTCCATGGGAGAAAAGACCTGACAATCTGCTGCCATGAAGATTACAGTCTAGAAAACTGTATGGGGGCAGTTCTACTCTGTCCTGCAGGGTCACTATGAGTCCGAATGGACTTGACAGCACACAACAACAAATATATATATATACATATACATGTATGTATATTATCACCAAACTTCTGTTTGAAACCCTGACTGATAAGCAAATACTGAATGCTTAAAGAACACCCATGGAAAGACGGTGCACAGAAGCAGTGTGCCTTACTTAGCACAATACCAGGCACACATAATACATCCTCAGGAAACGTGAGTTTAACTAATACACCAGTGTTCAATGTCAGAACATTGAGGCAAGATAACATTTCATGACTTTTGTTCTGCATTTCTTTACTGCTGCCCAAATGATCACCTCTCCTAAACACTCATCTCAACACAATGTTGACTTTCTTTCACTGAATAATCCTCCCACTTATGTTATCTTTATAGTACCCCTATTCTATTTGATGTTCTACAATCAAATACTCTTTGTAAAAGAGAAATATCCTTTTACTTCTTGTTTTTCTCTTTAGGATGTCATTTCCCCTAGGGCCTTCCTTTCAAGTACAATTCACAGTCTCCAAATCACCATACTCCACAGGGCTGGTTTTCCTTGGTGGTAGAGGGAAGGGATAGAGTTCAAGCAGAACTCTATTATTCATGCTTTCCAATACTGCTTCCCGAACATCACCCCCTTCCAACCCATGACTAACACTGCTACACCCTCATCCTCCAGCCAGCTCCTCAGTATCATCTATAGACTTCCGTGTTTACTTAGGTCATTAGCACTTGGAACATCTCTTTCTCTCAAACTGAAGAGCCACCATCATCTCAGGTGTTTGTAGTGTCTCCGTGGGTTATAACTGCAGCCTCCAAACAATTATTTGACTTCCACTACCCCATATCTTTATCTCCAAAACACTTCCATGGCCATATCTTGGGTGTTGTCATTTCTTGACACTGTCTCAACCTCTAAATTCTTAAGCTATAACAAATCACTTTCTGACCACAACTTTCCATCATTTTATCTTTCTTATTCCCTTACTCGGAATACATCTATTCTGTAACTTCATTAAGACTTTTAATCCCTTCTCCTTCCCCTTTACAACATAGTATTGCTTCTATAAATCTACAATGAGTCCCCCACTTCCATTCTTTTCAGCAGTTAATCTAAACTGTTACCTCTTTCTCATCTCCATACAATACTTCCATCTTCCTTCTCAGCAATGGCTATGCCTGTACTTAACTAAGAAATTCAGATGTTAAATAAAAATTCCCTTAACTACATCTCCCACAGACAGATATAACTACCCTGCCATCCATTATAGTTCTCCTTTTCTTCTATGACTGAAAAAAATTGTCTTTCTTTCTTTTTAACACTACTCTACTCACAGTTTTGGACTCACAATGGTTTGGTTTCCTCCTCTTCTCTCCTAGAACAGGCTATATCAGTCTATTTCCACTCCACTCTTTCTAATATCTCCTTCCTTATTGAATCCACTGTGAGAATCTTAGTTTGGAATCACATTACTGCAATGTCTCTAGATTGTACCCGCTCTCTGCCCCTTCTGCCCTTCACACACATTTTCTCTATCTTCCCCCACTATTTTAAGAATGATCTTTCTTCAAATGGAAATATCAACAAATATATTTATACATACAAAGCACAGATGCTGGAAAGGAGGCACTCAATAAATATGTATTCAATGAGTCCAGCAGAAAACAAGTAAATTTCTTGATTGTAGACAGTGCCTAACTGCTTTAGGAAGTTGCCCAGATATGAGTGAGAGCAAGCTACCAAAGAGCCATGACTTAAAATCTTAGTCTACGTTTCATTTTTCACTGGACAAAGAACCTCCATTCTCCTAGTGTGACCAATATTAATTGGGCTCTCATCATCGTGCTTTATGTGGTTTGTACCCTTTCTTCCTTATTCCTATACCAGTATTCACTTCCCCTGCACCTTCCTTGCAACTATGGACCCTGATCTCTGGCCTTCTTATTCACAATGAATACAGTAGCTTTTGTTCTCATGCTTGGTTAGCACTTTCCAAATTAGCATACTCCCCTTTTGTGTTCTGGGTTGTGCTCCTCTTCATCTATCATGCGGTATAAGCCAAGGCACATGATTCCAAAATTATTTAATGAGCCACAGAACACTTGTCCAAAGTAATCTCTTGGCTGTGGAGAGAAGAGAAAAACAGATGGCATCTGGACACTTAAAGCAAGCATGAATAAGCATGTACTGGTGTGTCACTTACTTTTCTTTGTAGTAGAAATTTAGAAGATCAGAAAGCAATTTCTTAATATTTTCACAGTGGCAGTGTCAAGTGGCTTGGTGATTAGGTTTATCACTTGTTCTGATACTCTAAGCCCAGGAATTGGTTTTGTCATTCTAGTCCTTTCAAGAACCTCTGATGGGTTTGGAATTAGTCTTCCTACTACAAATTGTTTTGCTAATCATTTTGATTTAATAATTAGAAGTAGGTTGGGAAATTCTGTTTTCCAGGTACTTAGTTAGGATATTAAGTGATCTCTAAAGAGTCATCTTCTTATTTCACACTATAAGAGCTCACAGTCCTACCATTCCTCTTGGCTTTGTTCTCAGATGACAGACAACAAGGTCAGAAGAAGCAACAAAAATGTTCAGTAACATCAAAAGAGAATAGTTTGTTCAGTTCTGTGATGTCTTAGGATAGAGGTCAAATTGAGGGATAGAGGTCAAATTAAGGGCAAGACATGAATGCAGAGAGGAAGGAGATGAGTGTGGATCTTTATAGACCAATCCACTGTCAACTCTGATGTCAAAAAGAAAGTACCATGACATTTCTCTAGACTTGTAAGAAGTCATATGTCATCACTAGCTGAGGAACCCAGGACAACATAAATGTAAGGACCAGAACATACTGAGAGTACTGAAGGGATTGTCCCCCCCACCTGGAATTCAAATGCACAGAACACAGTTCTTGCGTTTTTGGGTAGCATATACTAAGATACAATAGGTGCACAGGCCTGGAAAAGCTTACTCCTCGTGAAGGGGGTTCTGTTGATGTCCTCCAAGTCAGCAAAAGATGTTTCCCTGTAAAGCCCTTCCCCTAAGCAATAATATCAAGAAGCTGGATGTCATGTCAATCAAAACTAAACCAAAAGACACCCAACTGATAACTACAGTACTCCTTCCTAGTCTGGACTTTATCTTGATCCCCAAACGCCTTGAGGGCTCATTGGAATTTTTCAGAATTATCTTTTCTCCTGCCATAATCTACTGTCTACTTGTTTCCTGGATTAAGAAAACTCAAGTATTTTCCACTGGCTAGCCCAGTCAGATTCTTCTGCCTGATTTTAGCTGGCTTGATCTGGTTTCTTTAGCAGTTCAAGTACAGACATTGTGGGCAGACCCTGAGTTAGAATGACCTAGGCAATCCCTTGCTCTGCCCTGGTAAACTATATGCTCAGGGAAGTCCTTTCTTCTCTAATCCTCAGATTCTTGATCTGAGAATTAATAAAATTAATAAATGTTTAAATTATTGGGTTAAGTGAAAGCAACAAGAACAAAAACAACAAAAATCAAAGCAGAACAGTCACAGGGAAGTACTCAGTAAACATTAACTATTCCAATTATTATTTATACCCTTGTCAAAGAACAAAAGTCAGTAGACTTATCTCATGCTTCCTGTAGATTCATCTCCATGTCTGTAAGATGAGAAACATATCAATCCCTTTATCTAACTTTCGGGACTATTATGAAGAATAAATATAGTACAGATAAAAATGCACTGTAAATTGTAAAATACTCTATGAACATAAAGTATTATTTTTTGTTTTTATTATTGTTACTATTTCTGTGCTATAGGCTATTTAGGAACCCAAGTAGCTGGATCACTTTCAGAAACCCAGAAATGTAAGAAAATGGGAATCTCTTGTATGACAAGAGTAGACTCACTTGAATGTCTGATAGAATGGTGTTGTTCAAGGAGAGAAGCCCCAGCTTACATCGTGCTCTTGCAGAAAAGTATGTAGGAAAGCTGTCAGTTGACCCATGCTGCTTATCCTTATCCAAACTTTGTTCCAGCTGAGCACTTATCCCGCCTGTCACCAGCATCTGAAGTAATTCCAGGACACGATAGTTGTTGAAGGCCTGGAAAGCAAGGACAAGTCACATGCAAAGTCAGAGAGCCATAAATGATGGAAGTGAATACATTTCGAGATACAGTGGACAACTCTCTTTGAAATGTATCTGAGTGTACAGAGCAGTGTTTCTCACTATCATAATCATCAACAAAGCTCAAAGTTCAGGTAGGGAACTAGGTTAGGCTAAGGGCAAAGAAAACAGCACTGACCCAGTTCCTGCCTCCCCAGGATTTACACTGGAGGTTAGAAAAAAGAAAATGGGTAATGATATGGACCAAGGATTCTTCTCTTCCAAAAATGACCAGAGGAACATGTTAGGTGACAGAGACCATAATAATTATCAGCACATATTTAAAAATATATACTTAAGGGGCATCTATAGAATTTTCCCTGAGGGACTGCTAATATGACTGTCATCTTGAGTATTCTGAATACTTATCCTCTGCTTGATTGTGATGTACTTAAGAACAGATATTAACTTAAGTCTTATTAATATTTGAATATCCCATAGCTCTTATCACGCCCTTTGTAATTTTTAGGTGCTGAATAAATGAATGAATGAAAATTTATACTGTTTGGCATCAAAATGACACCCAAGAAGGACATGAGAGTCAATTCTTATTCTGAAACAAGTTTGAGCCTGAAAAATCTTAGACATTCTCTTAAATGCTCTCTGGAATCCTACCACAAGCAATTATAGATTAAACATTGACATATAAGAAAAGACTATTGTAACATATTACCGATTAGGTTTTCTGATATTTATTAAATATGTTGTTGTTGTTAGGTACCATCAAGTTGTGTCCAACTCATAGCGACCCTATGGACAGCAGAATGAAACAATGGCTGGTCCTGTGCCAGCTCCATAATTTTTGCTATACTTAAGCCCATCGCTGCTGCCATTGTGTCAATCCATCTCACTGAGGGCCTTCCCCTCTTTTGTCGACCCTCCACCTTACCAAGCACGACATCCTTCTCCAAGGGATGGTCTCTTTTGACAACATGACCAAAGTGTGTGAGACGAAGTCTGGCCATTCTCGCTTCCAAGGAGCATTACGCCTGTTAGTTCTTTCAGCATTCTTCACCAACACCACAACTCAAAAATATCAACTCTTCTTCGGTCTTCCTTGTTCATTGTCTACCTCTCACATGTGTATGAGGTAATTGAAAATACCATGGCTTGTGTCAGGCATACCTTAATCCTCAAGGAGACATCTTTGTTCTTCAGCACTTGAAATAGATCCTTTGCAGGTGATTTGCCCAGTGCTATATGGGAGCTCTG